GTGGGGCTCCCTATGGGGCCACGAAACGTGTGAGGGGTGTGTGCCGAATTGGGCGTGCGTGACGCATGCGGGCGGCAGCACTGGGGCCTTCGGTGGGGCTCCCTATGGGGCCACGAAACGTGTGAAGGGTGTGCCGAATTGGGTGTGCGTGACGCATGCGGGCGGCAGCACTGGGGCCTTCGGTGGGGTTCCCTATGGAGCCACGAAACGTGTGAGGGGTGTGCCAAAATGGATGATGATGACGATGACGATGGTGTGAGGAGGGAGGAGGGAGGAGGGGGAAAAGGAGCGGGAGCGGGAGCGGGAGCCGGCGCTGTCTCTTCAAAACGAGGACCCAACACCACAGGATGGTTGGGAAAAAGAAAACTGGAACTCCCTTGGACTCCCTTACGGACCTTGACGTGGTCCTATGGGTGAAAAACGTATGCGCGCCGGCGTGGCGCCGCTCCAATACATATCCGATACAGACTGTATGGGATCCTATACAGATCCGATACAGACTGGATAGGATCCTATACAGATCCGATACAGACTGTATAGGATCCTATACAGATCCGATACAGACTGTACAGGATCCTACACAGATCCGATACAGACTGTATGGGATCCTGTAGACATCCGATACAGACTGTTTAGGATCCTATAGAGAAACGATACAGACTGTATGGGATCCTGTACAGATCCGATACAGACTGTATAGGATCCTATACAGATCCGATACAAAATGTATGGGATCCTGTAAAAATCAGATACACACTGTATAAGATCCTATACAGATCCGATACAAACTGTATGAGATCCTATACAGATCCAATACAAACTGTATAGGATCCTATACAGATCCGATACAGACTGGATGGGATCCTGTAGAGATCCGATACAGACTGTATGGGATCCTATACAGATCCGATACTGATTGTATGGAATCCTGTAGAGATCCGATACTGACTGTATGGAACCCTATAGAGATCCGATACAGACTGTATGGGATCCTGTAAGGATGCGATACAGACTGTATAGGACCCCATACCGATCCGATACAGACTGTATGGGATCCTATACAGATCCGATACAGACTGTATGGGATCCTACACATATCCGATACAAACTGTACGCGATCCTGTAGAGATCCGAAACCGACTGTATAGGATCCTTTACAGATCCGATACAAACTGTATGGGACCCTATACAGATCCGATACAGACTGTATAAGATCCTATACAGATCCGATACAGACTGCATGGGATCCTGTAGAGATCCGATACAGACTGTATAGGATCCTATACAGATCCGATACTGTTTGTATGGAATCCTGTATATGTCCGACACTGACTGTATAGGATCCTATAGAGATCCGGTACAGA